TGACGGCGGCTGCTGGTGGGCCCTGGACCGGCCAGAGGTCGGGGCCCGGCGGTGTTCGCTCCGAGGGTCCCCACCACGCGCTGGGTAGCCACACGCGTGCCACCACGCTCTGAGTGTGCCCAGGCAACATCTGTCGATCAAACAACCAACCGCACCAACACAGAGGAAAATGAACACGCAGTCCCGAGTCAGACGCCATCAGTCTCTCTTACCCACAAAGTCACACCCGGCCACGGGACACAGAGCCACACGCACCTCTCTCTCTCACACCCACACCCACGGGATCCCTCCTCACACCCCGTGAGACCGCGGTGTCCATCTCAACAGGATTCTCTCTCCCTGGCCAGCCTGGCTGCTGTCGTGCTCAGAGCCGCCCTGCAAGGAGCCACCCTACGAGAGGCCACGTGGCCGGCCACCCGGGGCGGCTTTCGGCCTGCAGCCAGCCGGGCACTGGGGTCCAGCAACCACAAGGTACTGCTTCCTGTGACAACCACATGAGCTGGGGGGGCGGATCCCTTCCCGGTCAGGCCTGCGGGTAGACCCCCCGTCCAGTCAATGCTTTGACTGCGGTCTCTGCGGCCCCCGAGAAGAGGACCCAGTTGACCGGTGCCCAGGTCCCTGAATCCCAGAAACTACCACGTACCAAATGCGTGTAGTTTCAGGTTGCCACATTGGTGGTCATATATTCCCCAGCAGTAGCTGACCGATAAAGATTTGGGGCGAGAGTCACCTCGCTACAGGGGGGGACAGGGACAGCGTCCTTCAGCCAGTGAGAACACAAAAGTTTTCCAGATAAATGCTCTCAGATACACCCTGTCAACCATTCCCCAAAACACAATCCCACTAGGACAGGTACAAAGATTCACACAGGGCTGGGCGCGATGGCTCAGGCCTGTAATCCCAGCACTTGGGGAGGCTGAAACGCGAGAATTGCTTAAGCCCAGGAGTTCGACACCAATCTGGGCAACACAGTAAAACCTCGTCTCTACAAAAAGTCAAAAAATTCGCCAGGCGTGGTGGTGGCGCCTGTAGTTCCAGCTTCTCGGAAGGTTGAGATGGGAGGATCGCTTGAACCCAGGAGGTCGAGGAAGCTGTGAGCTGTGATCGTGGTGATCATGCCACTGTACTCCAGCTGGGGAGACACAGTGAGACCTTGACGCACACACATAAAAAAAAGAGTTGCGTGGACACGTCACAAATACCCAGTCCTGCTGACAACCACACGCATATACCCGCAATTACCCACCTCTGTGTACACCCCACACCATTAGTATGTGCACAGACTGTTGCAAAAATATACCATCCCAATGACACACACGCACACAGGTATACACGGCCACACACTTAGATACCTGCCGCCCGTCCACGCACCCAAGTCACACAGACGCACCGCTCCATAGTCAGTGTTGTGTCTGTCGGACACGGCCCCATGGGGTCATACGAGTGTGGACTCATCCGGACTCTCGCACAAAGACACCCGGACCCTCACGCCTGCGGACACACCCATGTCCAAGACACCGCCTTCCCGGGTGGGCCCCGCTCTCTGGGGCGCAGCTGGCAGGGGCCGCCCGGAGCCCTCTCGGGTCCCACTAGTGCTGGGTCCTGTCACCCGCCCCTGGTGGGGGTGGAGATGGCATCGCCCCCAGCCACCCCCTCCCCGGCACCCCCGGTTCCCCCCGCCAGGATACTGTCAGCGTCTCCGTCCCGATGGGAAGGGTGTGTCCCCCAGGCGGGCGGTGTCCCAGAAGCCCCTCCACGCTCACGGTGCCAGGGTCGCCTGTGTCTCTCCAGCGAGGCGGTCCCTGGAGTTGTGCGTGGCGTCTGGCCGATCCTGGACCGGCTTCCGTCTCACCCCGGGATTTGGGGCTGGCAGGGGTGACACTGCAGGCCTTGTGTTTATTGCCTGGTGGCCCGAGGCCCGCCCTGCGGGCCCCTCCACCCGGGTGTGGGGACGGGGGATGTTTGGGCACATGGCGAGGGGTACAGGTCAGAGGTCATGGGGCCGGGGGTGGGGTGGGGGTTAAACACCAGACAGGAGGAAAAGAGAACAGAAGCTGAGGTTGATGTGCATGGACCCCCCCCTCCCCGGAAGGTCACAGTGATCGGATGTGGGGGGTGGGTGCGAGCCTGGCTGCAGGATTGGGAGCATCCGGGGGACACGGAGGACCAGGGACAAGCGGCCTCCTCCGGGCCTGGCCGGGACAGAAACAGGCCTCTTCCTGGCTCCACGCCGTCCCCCTGTGGGCGCGGGGGTAGCCTCCAGCGGTGGCTTTGGGGGGACCAGACAGGACAGGAAGGCGGGCGGGGGGAGGAAGAAAAGCCCAGCTGAGACGTGGGAGGAGGAGGA